TTTTTTTCACCCTTAGCTTGCTTACTCAGCCAGTTATTTGACCAGACCTTGCCCTACCTGTACAATAAAAGTTGTGCTGCTGAGAGTGTACCTACTGTGTTCTTTAGGTTCAGGGAGCTGGGACAGCTTAGCCTATTTTTGAGGCTCACTGATGAAACCATTTCTATCTGCAGCCCTTCTTGAGATTGCTGTAAAGAGCCAGCTTTTATTAAATACAAAGAGAGTAGCACAGAGCTACCAGCTGTATTGGTTTGGATCTGAAATTACCTCCCAAAGCTTGTGTTGAAGATGTGGTCCCTAGTGCATCAATGTTCAGAAATGAGAGGAGGTTGGATCTTGAAGGCTCTGGTCTGACTAATGGATTAATGCTTTAATGGATACATACTTAGTTTAACAGGCTATTGGGAGGTAGTGAAAACTTTTAAGACATGGGGCCTAGTTGGGAAAAAGGTTTTGAAGGATATATTTTGCTCCCTGTCTCTTTATTTATATTTATTTATTTATCTATTTATTTATTTTGGTGGAACTTGGGATTGAACTCAGGCCCTTGCGCTTGCCAGGGAAAGCGCTTATTCTACTAAGCTATCTCCCCAGCCCCCTGGCCCTTTCTTTATGCTTCCCACCCTTCTTGAAATGTGCAACTTTTTTTCCCACCATATGTTCCCAGCATTAATGTGCCACACCACATTCCCAGAAACAGGATCCCAGTAACTGGAGACAGAAACCTGAAACCAGACCTTTTTCCTTGAAGTTGATTTGTGTCAGGTATTTTGCCATAGGAACAGAAAGCTAACACACCAGCATTATGTGAGAATCTTTATTTTGACAAGTGCAGTATAAAAATTCTGACCTGAAAAGTTAAAAAAAAGACTCCTGTTGGAAGTAGCCACACTTGGTTTCTGGCACTAGGACATTGGCTGCCATGTATCCTGGAAGTAGTTGGGGGAGAGGTACTGGCTCTGGGCAGAGGTAGCACCATGGGGTCATTATAAAAGCACCGCAAGAGGCAGCCCAGGGGCAATAGTGCACAGGAGAAGAAACAAGCACCGGAGTGTCAGCATTGAAGGCTAGAAGCTGAACCAAGATCATGAGGACTTGTACAAGAGCAGGTGGCGCAGGACAAAAACTGAGGCGCCCATGGCAAGATGGCAGCCAGCCTGAGCCCTCTAGGCAGGGTGCAAAGTGGGAAGAAGAGTAAGACAGTTATGAAGGTGCTGTCAGCTCAAAAAGTAGCTCAGGAGGTGCTCATCATTTAGTATCTAGGAGGCAGATAAACTCCAGGCAAACAAGACCATGAAAAAAAAGGTGGGCATTAAGGAGAAGCCTGTGGCAGGTGAGGTCATTAACTCTGTGACCTTGCAACAGCGAGAGTAGTAACAGGAAAAACTGGAGGCTGCCAAGGAAAAGCGCCTACTGAACCAATCAATGGTTGGGGAAAATAAAAGCCATTGGGGAAGTTGACCCCAAGGTTGCCAACACTGTATCCTTGATTGAGAGAAGCCAACAGTCAGGAGGACTTGACAGAAAAGGCCAGGTTCTTGGCAGACATGGGCTAAGAGTTTGGCATCAGTACACTGATGAGTTTTGGCAGAAGTAGCAAGACCTGAACAGTGCTGAGGAACTACAGGGCCTCACAGTGGAGCACACCATTGATTCCTTCCAAGCAAGGAAACTAGTCCTCACCCTCAAGGCCTTAGTGTACTGCGGGAGGAGGAGGATGTGCTGGTGAACACAAACCTAGTGGGTAAGGAGTGGGAAGAGAAGAACGTGGAGCTGTGGAAGCAGCAGCCGATCTGCCCTATGCAGCAAATAAGGGCATGAAGGACTTGGTGTAATAGCAAACACTTCAGTCTGTCCTGGCCAAGTAGAGAGGAGCCAGAGGGGGAGCAGCCATACTCCTGTTTGAACCAGGGCAGCATGGCCAGTGGCCTATGGGAACATGAGCAGGGAGAGATCTGAGCCACCATATGGGTGCAGGCTGTCTCTGAGCCCCACGGGACCTCAGCTTACCCCTGTGTGCCTTCCACCAGAGATGGTCATCTTCTAAAGATGAAGAAAATCTACAAGGGGGAGGTGGTAGTGTGTGCAAATAAATGACTTTTTGCACCCAGAAAACCAACTCAGGATGGGAACTTCGGTTCCAGAGCACAGGCTTCAGATGAGTGCTGAGTGCCCCAAGTAGGGGAGGCAGCTCTGGAGAAAAGCTGATGGACATACTTGTAAGTGATGACAAGGTGAAGCTAGAGGTACAGAAACAGCTGGAGAATGTGTGCCAGATGTAAGCAGTGAGGAGTGTAGATTGTGAAGATGCTGGAATCTTGCCAGCAGAATTAAGATCCTGAGCAGAAAGGGAGTTACTGTGTTCAGCCAGCTCAGTTTTGCCACATCTTGGGGATATCCCCAACTGTAGGCTAGCAGGCTGTCAGGAAGTGGGGGAGGAGAATGTAGGCTAGAGGATGGTCAATCTGAATGAGAAGCAGCAGCTCTGCTCCTGCATCAGAACAAAGGGCTGCTAGTGGCAGCCAGTGTCAAAAGGTCCTTCTTGTGAAGGTCCTCAACTCCCTGCCCTCAGCTGTGTACTGCGTTAAGGACATAATGGCTATGGAGGACAAGCACAACAGGTGGGATGAGTACCATGGCTTTACCCAGGACTTCAAGAAGGATCACTTCAGGCCCGATGTTCAGACTAAATATGTGGACCAGACAGGCCAGAAACTCACTCCCGAAGTGGCTTTCCAGCAGCTGTCCCCGCACTTCCCAGGAAGGGCTCAGGTAAGGTAAAGACAGCAGCAAATGAAGGAGGTGCAGCAGAAGTGGATGAGCTCTAATGATGTACATCCCAAACATGGTAGTGTTGCTCCTGGATGATCAGAAGATCCAGAAGATTCTACACGTGATGCTCAGTGGAAGTGGCAAGAGTGTGAACATGAACACCATCACCAAATAAAGCTACCTCCCTTCTGCTCCCCTCCCCAACTTTAATGTTAAACTTCCCTCCTTATTAAAAAGTCAGGTAAAAATAAATATGTTTACAAATTATTGTAGAAATATAAAAGACGGTTACAATGAAGAAAGCTCAAAATGTGTCCAGTTGTATAAAAGCTCTTCCCTTACAAGAAACAGGGATAAAGCTGAAGACCCAGTTTGGTTTTGCTGCTGAAATATACAAAATAACTTAGAAAATCCAGACGAGGTCAAACATCATGCACTCACTATCGGTACTGTCAGTACCTGCCTTATTTTGATCTGAGGAAAGTTGATAACCACAGTGCAAGGCAGAGCTGATGGTAGGAGAGCCAGGAGTTTCTCAGAGTCCATCATCCTTCAAGTCAGTGCTGAAGAAAGCCCTTAGTGAAGTCTAACCTCTGCATTTGGCAGGCTGGATTTCCTCCACTGTAGTGCTCAAAATAGTTTCTTGGCCGGCAGAAGCATGAAATCTGGAACAATTCCCTTTAGCAAATGCCTGCTGCTTCCCAAACATTGTATGTTGGGCCTCATGATCAGACAGCAGTTTTACTAGAAGTTGAGATGTAGCAGCTCTTGGCTGCAGCTGAAAAACTCTTGAGTTCATGGGAGAGAGGGGAAAGCATCAGGGTTTGCCCATCTGTGGTTCAAAGAATGCATGGTTCTTTTGTAGAAGCACCTGGATTTAGGTACGGTAGAGGTTTTCAACTACTTCAACTACTCTTCAACTTGGTGCTGATTTTGAAGGGTTAGTTGGTCCTTCTGAGAAAGGACATTTGGAAAGTGAACAACCCCTAAGTAAAGGGCTTAGCAGGATTTCAGGTTTCAAACCCAAAAGCTGAGCAGTCTGAATTGCAAATCTCTAGAAAATTGTTTCCCTCAACTCACAAAGCAGCAGAGGGAGATGAGCCCCAAGGGTTTGAGGAAGCAAGAACCTCAGGGGTAGGAACAAATCACCTCTTCTAGTTCAGTTTCTGGACAGAAGCAAGCAAATGTGGTAGTGACTATCCTATCCAGAACCTGGCTTTACAAGGCCCCTAGAGAACCTGGGTGTAGTGGCATACACCTGTAGTCCCAGCTACTTGACAGGGTGAGGCAGAAGGCTGCAAGTTTGATGCCAGCCTGAACACTAAGCAAGACTCAAAAAGGGGGGGGGGGGCTGGGAGCTCAGGAGCCGAGTGCCTCTTGGTTCAATCCCCAGAACCATACACACACAAATTCCCTAGAAAAGCCACTGAGGAGAATGAGCAGTCTCACAGATGGCCAGCTTCAATTTGAGAGTTCACTTTGGTAACACTGAAAAGCTTTCAGTTGAGGATGATTGTCAAGAATAGTAGCCTGAAAGTCACACATGTTAACCAGCTGCCAGACTTGCTGTCCAATTCCAACATGGCGGTCAATATGAAGCAAGACTCCCAGTGTTCTTTACTTGTGTGCAGAGAACAAGCTTGCCTGTTGCAGTCTCTTGTAAGAGCCTAAGCTCTTTCTCAGTTGCCACTTGAGAATTTAGCCAGGGTGATGATAGAGGTAACTGTCACATTATTACCTCCAAAAATATGTCTTTAAAGTGAAGGAAGATAAATGTTTAGCCTCACTGAGCTGAATTTGAGAGGAATCCTGTAGTGTGCAGGTTAAAATACTAAAGATTTCACATGTTGGGGTTTGATTCTGGGTAGTTGGCTAAAAATTTGTATCCGCCCAGCAGTGACCATCACAGACAAGATTAGAATTCATCTAGAAGTCTGACCAGTTTTCAAGTGGAACACATCCCAAGGCTTCCATGTCTTTAGCATCACCACAGTCTTGTTCTTCCTGGCAAGCCTTACTTTCTTTTTTTTTTTTTTTTTGGCGGAACCGGGGATTGAACTCAGGTCCTTGCGCTTGCCAGGGAAGCGCTTATTCCACTGAGCCATCTCCCCGGCCAAGCCTTACTTTCTAATATGCACTTTTAAAAGCAGTGCAGTGTTAGCTGGATGTGGTGCCACACTCCTGTAGTCCCAGTACTCTGGGAAGCTGAGGTAGGAGGATCACAAGTTCAAGCCCAGCCTCAGTGACTTAAAGAGACCCTGTCTCAAAATTTTTAAAAAGTGGGATGGGGGGTGGGACGGATATAGCTAGTTGTGAAGGCCCTGGGTATAGTCCCTACTCCTACTACAAAAAAGTAAAAAAGCAATTCAGTGCTAACTCCTACTAGTCTGGCTCATCCCTGGGACACTGAGATGTGAAGTAGGGTAGATCACATAAAGCACCATTCCTGTACCCTGTTTTCTGATACCCAAAGATCAGGCCTCAGGGCCTTGTATCTCAGGCACAATCTTAACTGTGTTGATGATCTGTTGGAGAGGGAGGGGATGTTCTTGGCTCAGATCTCTCAGTGGAAATTCTACCACCTCTGGTTATGTTCACATGGGTGAGGAAAACCCCTTCCCAAAGGATGTCATTGCTTGCTTATTAGAAATTGCCACAAAATGGAACCATTACTTGGTTTGGCACCTTTCTGAGTTCTCTTGGGACCCTAGAGAAGGAGGCAGAATCCTTTTCAGAGGCCAAGCAGACAAGCAGCCTAAAACAAACGTCCTCAGCCCTGAGCCTAAAGAAGCAGTGTCACATCCTCTGAGCAGAACTGCCCAGCCCAGGCCATACTACAGTCACCATTGTTTGCATTTCAGATTTGTCCCTTTGGACCATTAAACTAAAATACAGCGCTCCCTCCCCCCCCATCCCAATCTTCCTCTTTCATTCCCCCTGCCCTCCCTTCCCCATTGCACTTTTCCCACTCCGCCTGCAGCTGTGTCACACCTCAGCAAAAGCCAAGCTGTATTGCTCTGGTTTCTTCCCACATCGCCGAGCAATGATAGCCAAATACAGCATGAGGAGGGCCACCCAGTAGCAGCCATAGAGGATGGCCCCAGAAACAAGGAAGGCTAGCTCAGTCTCACTGAACAAGTCCTGGCAATAAGCTGTGTAAGCCAGGCCCCCGAGAAGAACTGCCACCCAGATGGACACGGGGATGAGGCCAATGAAGTTCACCACAATGGTTTTTCGGCCTGAAGTCCCCCAGCCAGACTTGTTGATGGTAGCAATGGCAAAGATCTTGGCTGGCAGGAGACTGGACATATAGAGAAGAGAATAGAGGGACATGAAGATCATCTCTGCATTGCCTCGAAGGAAGCAGGCGTAGGTAGCCTTGATAATGCCCACCAGTTGCACTGTCAGCAGGAAGAGAAGAATATTCCAGATGCGGCCCCGGTAGAAAAGCTGTATGACCGTGGCGATGAGGAAGAACGGGAAGAAACCTGTGACCACTGATTCATAGGTCATCCAGAGGTGGTGCTTATGGAACCACAAAGAGTTGTAGAGCCACTCCCGGAAATAAGACTTGCTCCAGCGAGTTTGCTGGTTGAGCCACCGGAGGTACTTGGTGGGGGTCTCTGTGAGGCACTTGGAGCGCGCTGTATACTTAGTCCGGTAGCCAAGACTCAGCACTCGGTTGGTGAGATGCCGGTCATCACCAAAGCTACACTTGCTGCCTAGGAACTTCTGATGGTACCAGTCCTCCAGGAACTGCTGGAGGAGGCTATTGCGGTACATGCCCAAGGGCCCACTAATGCACTGCACACAGCCAAAGTAGGACTGGCAGGCCCGCTCCACGTTGAAGGCCATCCAGTACCGCACACTGCTCAGGAAGGAGATCCATGAGTCATATTTGTTGAGGATCTGCAAAGGAACAGAGATGCTGGCCTCATTTGAGGACATGAGCCCCAAACGAGACAGATAGGAAACCTCCCTACCCTGGGTTCTGTGGTCCACTGCTCAAATTCCTGGCATTGGCATTAGCCTTACCAGTACTGAGGAGTCTAAGGCTGAAAGGAGCCAACTGTATCCACTCCTCCCCAGAACCAGTTCCACCTCTGCACTGTATCATCTGTACTCACTTTCCCAACTAAACTGATCAAATAGTCAGTGCTGCCTTCAATCTCAGGGGAGAGGGAGTGACGGTGGCAGAGATAAAGCCCAGTGAAGGTCGCAAAATGTCACCCCCGCCACCTGTTCTGCTGTTTCTGCAGTTGTAAAGTCTCTAGGAAGATGTGAAATACTGTTCATGGTATCCTCTGCAGAAGATCCATCCCTTTATGCTCACCATGCTGCTCTTCAGTCCAAGTTCTCTAGAAGCAAGGGCTTCTCAAGGGCCTCACCTGGGAGTTACCTACTACACAACCAAAAAGGAAGTACCCTGTGGGATCTGTGGCCTCAAAATCTATAGCCCTCCCTATATAGGCTATAACTATTCGGTATTTTTCTTTCATATTGAAAAAAAGAACAGGAAATGAATTGCATTGCAAGTAAGGTGAGTCCTCTGGTATCAGTCAAAACTGTCAGAGGGGAACCTCCCCAGATGGCAGGCATATTCTATTGAGTTAAGAACCAGAGTGCAGACCTCTACCCCAGGGATCCCTTGTTACTTCTTACTTGAACATCTCCCCCGACTCCCCCTACTTGGGGATCCTCCTCCAGGACTCGAAGCATCTCGATGGTGCAGGCTGGGTCCAGCACAGTGTCAGAGTCGCACACCTGCAGGGGAGTGCACCATGAGCCTGTTTTGACCAGAGGTCTGTATAGCACCCTTTTCCCACCAGCTGAGGGAAGTGACCCTCCTCCCATGATTCTCTTCCATTACAGCAGTGTTGGCCAAAAAGGGAGAAGGAAAAACAAAGGCAAGTAAGGAAAAGGAGTCTACATCCTAGGGTGGACAGCTAGTAAGCTGAGGAGAAAAACCCAGGAGACTGTAGTTACCAGGCCTTGAGAAAGACAAATGTGTAGCCCTGGACAAGGTTTGGACCCTGCAGAAGTAGGCTCCACAGAAATGGCTCAAAATACTTATCTGGAGTCCTTGGGCTGAAAGAGGAGCAAGTCATTGAAACCATATGACAGGCACAGTGGACTAGAACAGGACCAACATTCTTCAGAAAGCTGAGAAATGACTCATGTAAGGGGCTGTGGTTCCAACCAACACCACAGGTTGTTATTATGTCCCCATTTTAATCTGGCCCCCTGGACAACCTCCAGCTCCTGTGGTGAGAAGCCTTCCTCGAGACCACAAACATGGCCCCCTGACACTCTGTGCTTCAGCAGGGGCTCCCTTGGCCAAATCCTTAAGATGGGGGCACAGGGCTGAGGATGTGGCTCAGTGGTAGAGCTCTTGCTTTCCATGGATAAGGCCTTGGGTTCCATCCCCAGCACCACCAAAAATAAAAATAAAATTTAAAAAAGACGGGTACAGTCTGGCTAATGGCTGCTCATCAATCCTGACTGGCCGAGGACACTAGCAGTAGCTGCCTCCAGTCAGACCCTGGATCAGATCCTGCCCATGTACCATCCTTCCCTCAGGTGCTCCCATGATTAGTGAACCTGGGCTCTGAAAGCATTACCCTTGGGGCTATCTCCTTGTCTGCTAAAAAGTAACTGAAAAGGTAGAGTCCAGATAACTGTTGGCAGGGGAATTGGCTTGTAGACTCCAGACCAGGCTCTCTGGTCACTGTCCTCAAAACAGAACAGTGTCTAAGGATGAGCCCAAATCATGCCCCATAGAAACCCCAAATCCTTTTAACTAAAATTACTGATGCCAGGTTTTAGGTTCAAACCTCAGCACCAAAATAAAGTTGCTGAGTAAGATCCCATCGGCCTGCAGGAAAGAGGCTGCTTCTGACACCCCAAATAGTCTCCATTTTCCTTCTCTGTATTAGAGCAAGTAACAGTAGGACAAGGGGGAATGAGCACCAGCATGGGTCCCTTGAATGTGCTTCTCCAGCCTCACCACCAGACACATCCAGCCACCTTATTTTTTATTTTTATTTTTTAGTTTTTGGCGGAACTGGGGATTGAACTCAGGCCTTTGTGCTTGCCAGGGAAGCGCTTGTTCCACTGAGCCATCTCCCCGGCAACCACCAGACACATCCTTCCATGCTAGTCCAGACTAGGTCTCCTTAGCTTACAGGCCAAGCATTGCAGTATTGCTTGTCTCACTACTACTTCCTGCCTGGACCCTGACCCATTCTCTATGCTGCTCTGCCTCTGCTCTACAGAGGTTTTTCTAGCTGAGTGGGGTAAAGAAAACAGGTTCTGTTCCACAGAGGCAAAGACACATGCCCTTGGCAGCCTGTGGGGCACAGGCTGAAATCCCACAAGCATTCGCTGTAGTCCAGGCTGCCTTGGGCAGTGGTCCCATGGAGGTGTGTCTGTGTGTGGTGGGGGTAGAGAGCTTGCAGATCCTCTAGAACATATAGGAGATGACTGGGGAGAGGTGTTAAAAGGCAGAGCAGGCTCGGGGGTCCTAAGCTTAAAGGGTATAGTCATGGTCGCTTGAACACACAAGTCAAGGCTCAAGGCTTTTTTCCCTAAGCTTCTGGGACCCCTGGAAGGTTTTTCCAAAGTCCTTACAACCCCAGGTGAACTGCAGACTTAAACAGCCTTCTAGGTTCACATCCCTCCCTACATGGCTGAGGAGATCCTTGGGCCTAGGAAGACAGAAAAAGAAAAAGGTATGAACTGTCACACAAGGACACACTTTTTTTAAAAGCCAAAGTATACAAGCTAATTTTAGGTAGGTACACTATAGAAATTTTTACACTATAGAGAACTTAACATGCTGTCAGCAAGCCTGAATTGGCATGGGTGGGCTACCAGAAAAGCTACCCTTCTTTCAAGCATTTAGGAAGCAATGAGCAAACTCCTTGTACAGGCACAGAGAAGGACAGAGATAGAACAGATAGAATTTGGGTGCTGCAAATAATTCTGGGTCAGAATCTGGAATCCTGGGTTTTCCATTCCTATGTGGTAATGAATGTGTGAGGGTTTTTTTTTTTTTTTTTAAATTTGGTACAGGGTCTTGCTACGCAGCTTGAACTCATAGTGATCCTCCTGTCTCAGCCTCCCCAGCACTGGGATTACAGGCATGCACCACCAAGCCCAGTTTTGGTGGCTGGCTTAGTGTGCCTGGGGTTCTGGGGCTGGCACAGCATGCAGTACCAGGTATCAAACCTGGGTCCTTATGTTGCCAGGCAGGTACTTAGACCGCCGAGCTATCTCCCTAGCCCCCGAATATGTTTTTTTTTTTTTTTTTTAATTTGTGAGGTTTTTTTGTTGTTGTTTTTGTTTTTTGACAGAACCAGGGATTGCACTCAGGCCCTTGCGCTAGCCAGGGAAGTGCTTATTCCACTGAGCCATCTCCCTGACCCCTTAATATGTGAGTTTTAATCTCCGTTTTCTCTAAGTTGTATTACTGGAAAACTAAAATTATTATCTATCCAACTAATAAAATTTCCAGGTTGGTGTCAACGACCACTTAAAACAGATGAGGGGCTGGGGAGATGGCTCAGTAGAATAAGCGCTTGCCTGGCAAGCACAAGGATCTGAGTTCAATCCCCAGTTCCAAAAACAAAAACAAAAACAAAAACAAAAACAGATGAGCAGGATCTGCTCAGCATTCCAGCCCTGCCTGTGCTGCCAAAAGATGAAGCAGGAGAGTTATTCATAGCTGTCTGTCCATCCCCACCTCAGACATGAGCTCGACACTAGAAGAGTGGGACTTTGGGGCCCAGAACTTAAAACAATTGTATTTGAGTGGGACTTCCTTTGCTCTTCACATTTCTTTATAAACAGGAGCATCTTCATGTCCCAAGGGTGGGCAGCACTGCACACACAAGATGGGCTTCCTGGCTCTCACCTGGCTCTGCACGTTACTAGCAGTGTGACATTAGGCAACTTACTTGCTTCGGTTTCACCTTCTAAGAGGAAACGTAGTACTAGTACTTATCCACTGCAGCAATAGGAGGATTAAGAGTAATCAGTATATCAGAAGTGCCCGTGAAGTGCCTAGTACGAAGTAAATGTTATGCACCAGGTTGCTGCTGTTACTACAGAAACAGCCAATTCAGAGGTCTGCCCCAAATCACAGAATGCCAGCATGACCACGTTTCCAGCCCAGCTCTCTATGACCTCAGAACTGCTTCAGAACCATCACACCTTCTTGCCTGTTGCAGCGCAGAGAAGGGATGTGTGCAACACACCTACCCCTGACCTACAGTCCCTGGAGAAAAGTCTGGCCACTAGCCAGCCAGTCCCCACCACATACACTTTGGGGGAGGTACCCTTACCTGGATGTAGTCCACTGAGTCGCCAAGGGCCTTGAAGGCTGTGTACATGACCTCGCGCTTGCCTCCCCACTTCTGCATGACACATGAGAAGGTGCTGGTCCGTACCACCGCCCGCACACGCTCCATGCCCTCCTGTAGGCTGGCCTCTGTCTCACCCTCACCCGCCTCGTGGAAGTTGCTGCGCCACACAAAGAAGCCGGCTTGATCGGTGCCACCCAGTACCTCATGGAAGATGTCCAGCATGTAGGCATCCTCCTGGCGATTGCCATCCACTACCATGACCACCTTGAGGTCAGGAAAGGCAATGCGCTGGGCTGAGCGCAGGCACTTGCGCAAGTACTCAGGGTCCTCCTGGTAGGCAGCGATGCAGAGTGCCACAGCTCTGCGCCTGGAGCAAGGCAGCTTCAGCAGCCGCCCTGCCCGGCGCATGCGCCTATGCTCCAGGAAGGCAAACAGGCTCTGGATGAGCAGGTGTAGGCCCAGGATGGCACCATACAGGCCGAAGGACAGGTAGTGCTTTTCTGTGTGGATGAACTGGTAGCCTGTCACATAGGCTGCCAGGATGCCACCCAGCACTGCCAGGGCAAACAGGCTGGTGCCCACCACACGCAGGGCTGTCGTCAGCTGCACCGGCATCTGGCAGGAGAAAGTGGGAGATATTGGGTTAGGCAGGAGGTAGCACTGAGGTCAACAGAGAGCTGGTATTCTTGGAGTCTGGCCCACAACAGCAGGGTGGCAGTAATAAAAATGATGACCACTTACTGAGCATAGCTAGACCATCTGGGGACTCAGAAGCCAGAGTACTGGGGTACATGCAAGGTAGCATTTATTATTGTTAGAGAAAACAAAGACCAGAATTAGGTGACAACCCTCATAGATGGCAGACTCTGCCTGAGCAAAGCTCTTAGTAGGTAAGCTTTAGTGGGGTGAGCCTGCAGCCAGGGGCATCCCCAAAGTACATACAGCAATGAAGGGGCTTCCGGTGGTGGGGGAGAAGGTAGGGCAGTGGGTGACCAAGACCTGAAGAGCCACCGCCCCTAGTGGGTAAGTGACTGGACTCTAGGAGGGGTATAGTCACTGGTAAAGCATAGCACACAATCCTAAAAGAAAGCGGGGGGGGGGGCAGAAACCACAGGATACATAAAAAGAGGTGCCAGGGGAACAAAGATGCACAGGGCTTTTCTTGCTCACAGCAAAATCAGTAAGAGAAACTTCCTTGTGTTCACCTCTCTCACCGTGTTCTCATTTAGTCAAAGGCAGGAAAGAAAGGGAAAGCTGGAGGGAAAGCAGACAAGGGAATGAGGAGGAAATGAGAGTGGGGTGTGGACAGCCCTTCTAGAAAGCCCAGCACTGAGGAGCGCCAGAGGGAACTACAGCCACCACTGCAGCAGCCTCACAGAGGTGGCTGCCTGGGGAGCCCCATCCGCTTGGTCCTAGTGCCGCTGGGATCTCTGTGCTCATCCCTGGGCCCAGCCACTCCTGGAAACAGTGCCAAGTTTCCGTCTGCAGTTAAGTTGGGGCCCCTACAGTCTGCCCTGTTGGAAACAGCTGTGTTTTAATGAGAAAAGCCCAGGCTTGGCACCATGACTTGGCCTGGGGCAAGCCCTACTCCCTCCTGGCTGCTGGACCTTGCTCAAGTTCTCTAAAACCTTGTCTCTCATCACTACAAAGGGGTTCCAGGTCTCACTCAGGTAAATCATTTCCCTGAAAATGGAAATGCTGGCCTGGAAGTGATTTCTGATGGCCACAGGGGTGTGAAGAGAATGGATGGAGAGCCAACCAAGACTCCTTCCTGTCCTCCATTCCAAGCTAAGCCTTCTGAAGACTGCTTCTTCCTACCAGCTCTGGAGAATCCAGTTTCCACTCCGGGACACCAGATGATAAACCTCTCCTTCCAAGCCTGCTCCAACTCTAGATCTCACTGAAACCCAGCCTGTGACCCCTACACAGACACAGTGTCCTGCCAGGGGACACCTCTCACTCGGGCGGGATAAGAAACACGCAGTCACTGCCTAAATCAGCACGATTTAGGCACCAGTCAGGCACCAGCAGCGTTCAGGCAGCTGGGATCGGAAAGGACTGTTGGCAGCCTCGCTTCTGCGGGAAGCATGGCCTCCAGGCTCTCTGGCCCACCAGCTCAGGGATCTGGCAGCGCGCTTCCTCTGCAGGACTATCAACCCTCCTTCACCCCTCCCCCACCGCCCCTAACGCCCGCGTTCGCAACCTAAGGGCGTCTCATCCCCCTCTGGTATTCACAAGCTCAAGGGGTGCGGCTGGCTCCACTGCCCGCCTGCGCTCCCGGGGGACGGGGCAGGAGGTGCGCGGGGCTAGCCCGTCAGCCACCAACCTGCTGGGCCCAGGCTCCCCACCTCAGTGCAGTGCCGGAGACTGTGTCCACCAGGTCACTGCAGCCACAGAGTCAGTCGCCACGCTTCCTACCCCGCTTGAGCCTCACCTCCTGGTGAAGGTAGCTCGCGCCACACCCACGTGCCCGTTTCCCAGGACCCATCCGGGAACGAACAGAAAACCACTGCAATCACAGTGGGACCGTGGTGTATTCACCTTCCCCGGGCCCCAGTCACCTTGGCAAAAGTATGCCCGCAGACAAAGGCTGCATCCCCAGTGTTGCCAGTCCCCTCCTTCCCGGAGGGAGATCCCTCTCTCCCGTGGGAATCAGAGGCACAGCCTCTGTAGCCCTCCTCTCCACAGACTACCCAAAAAGGTCTCATAGCCCGATTACACCCCACGTGTAATGAGGCGCTGGTGAGGGCTTTGGCGGAGGTACCCAGTCCAAACGCCAAAGCCTGCGGAAGAGGGGGGCGGAGCGAGGTGATCCTAGACCCTGTGCTGCTCCCCGCCCCCCATCTTCACAGCTTTTCCTCAGAAGGGGTCCGCGAGAGCCCGGGTGGGCTGCCCAGCGCGCAGTGGGGCTCAAGGGCAAGAGGCTTGCCCCCTGGAAGGCCCAAGGAGGCGCCCGCCAGCTAAGGGCGCAAGCTTCACCGTTCAACCCCGAAACTTTGAGGGGCTGCCTGGTCCGCAGCGTCTCCCCCGCTGACAGGTGCGCCAGGCTGCGGGATCCACATGCAGCGGGATGGAAACTTGTACGTGCTGCGGGCGGCCTCGGGTTTGGTCTCTAAGCCCGCGAAGGAGAAGAAGCCAAGTTGGGCGGACACGTGCAGCAAGGACCGGGCTAACCCGCAAGAACTCAGACGCCGGGTATCTAGGTATCCCGGCAGGTGCGAAGATCGTCGCGAGCGTGGAGAAGTGGTGCAGCCAACCTGAGCCCCCATCCTCGCCTGCCTCCTAATTCATTCACAAAACCGGAGCCGCAAGGGAGGAAGGGAGGAAAGGATGGAGGAAGAAAAGGAGGAGGGGTCAGCGGGGAGGGGGCTGCCGCTACCTCGGGAGCCCACGGAACGCGAGCGCGGGGTGCAGGGCCCAGCGCAGGCCGCCCGCCACCCCCACTCACCGTGCCGCCGGCTGCCCGCGCTCCAGTGCTCAGCAAGCCCGCAGCGGCTCCATGCCCCTCCTCCGGCTCCGCGCCGCCGCCGCCGCGCCTGCCTCCACCGTGCGCCGCCGCCGCGCCTCAGACTGACGAGCGCCGGCCCCGCGGAGCCGCCTTTAAGTACCGAGCGCGACCTGCCGGGAGAGGCGCCCTCCTCCGGCCCCGGGGCCCGGAAAGTTGGCAAGAGTGGGAGGGTTCCGAAGGGGAGCGCCCGGTGCCCAGCTCGGTCGCAAGGAGCCCACCAGCCGGCGTGGCGCGGGCTCGGGGTCCCGCGTGGACGCAGCTTCACGGGTTCGTAGCCACAGCCTCTGCGCCCTCTCGGGAACGGGGTTCCCAGGGTGGCCGAAAGCCGAGCTGCTCCACGCCGCCCGGCCCAGCCTAGGCCAGCTGCCCAGGACTGGCGGTTATTGTGCCCAATCTAGAGCTCTCAGCGTCGTTAACTTTCAAGGTGATCCTCCGGGACCTCCGAAATCGCGACTCCGTCCCCGCCCCCACGCCGCGCCTTCCAAGCCTGGAAACCCACTCACCCTAGAAAGCTGGGGAGCCGGACCAACCTCCTCCGGCTCCTGCTGCACTTCAGGGGGCCGTTCGCTGGAAAGGGGACGCCCTAAAACGAAGGCAGCACAACCTTTCTGGTGGCAAGAGGAGAAAAGGATAATTGTCAAATATAAAGAGGCTGGTTAAGGAAGGTGCTTACAATCGCGACAAGCTTAGCTTTGAATTCCGCAGTGGGGCGCTGATGACATTAAGGCTGTTTGCAAAAGCTGCAAATGGTTTTTGCAGCAACCTTGTAAATTCCGGTGTCTTGATACCACCTTCCCCCACCCCCACCCCACCCGCCTTTATTTCCCTGACCTCCTAAATCCCCACTGACCTCATCCCAGGAGTTTCCAAGTTCCTTAAAAAGCTGGTGCTAGACTTTGGTGAGGTAAAGTGGAGGAGGGTGGGGAGGAAGAGGTCTTTAGGAAGGAAGGTTAGAACCTAGTGAACACACTAAGCTTGTACATCTAGAAAAGTTTTTAAATAGTGATAATTAAAATTATTTTTTAAAATGCCAGGAGGGCCGGGGAGAGAGGCCTAAGCACCTGCCTGGCAAACTCAAGGCCCTAAGTTCGATCCCTGATACTGGAAGGAAAAAAAAAAAATCAACCTGACCAAAAAAACGAGTAAAAAATGAATTACATGTTCTCCAAACACAATGGGATAATGTCCATTACTTTTAGAGTGAGTAGTAGTCTGTAACCTGCTCCCCTCACAAGTCTTAGGGGTACAGGGTCTTGCCTGGCCCCCTAAACCCCTGGCCAAAGTACTGAGCCCTCCACGATCAGGTAAGCAAAGACCCCTGCACACCTGTTTCACCTGCTCCCATCCTGCAGTACAAACACCGACTACTTCACACACTGCTCAAGAAATCATATGGCAGCTGAGAGAGATACAACTGTATGGCTTTGGAAAACTCTTATTGACCCCACAATGTGTTTTGGCCCTCAGATGGCTCAACCGTCCCTATGAGAGCCATCAACCCCAGATAGAGAAAGGAAGGCCGGTCAACTTTGCCACTAGTATGACTGTAAACCTCTAGCCGGATTAGGTTGTTACAAGGTTAGGAGGCATAAGCTAACTGGCTGTATGTGCTCAGAGAGCTCCAGCTACCCTCGCCCAGAGCCTGGTGCCACGTGCCCATCCCTCCAGTGCACTGAGTGGCACAGGTTCAGGGATTGGCATTGAATAAATGAACAAATGCATTGTTCCTGTTGAATTATGGGCTTGTGAGCTCTGGGCCACCTGTTCCACAGCCAGAGGCATCAGAGAGCCTGGAGCTGCCAAAGACTTGAGGATCCATCCCACCTCCACCAGAGTTGTACCATTTCAGATCAGGGAAAATAGGGCTGAGCAGACAAAAATGGGAGCATAGGGCTGTGAGGGTGACCCAAGGAGGGTCATCTCTCTGTGGAGAGAGGTAACTCTGTTGTCAGAAGCCAGAAATCCAGACTTGCAGGTAAAATCTTCCAATTTTTAAGAGTTGGCAGTTAATTCAAATGTTTAAGGAACGCACCCTGTAGGTCAGGCTGGAGGTGTCTGACTCATATCCAGCCAACGGGCTGCTTGTAAGTGACTTGCTCTGGGAGGTCTGTAGCACATGGAATGGAGCAGCCAGAGGCAGTTTTAGTCTCTGCCCTGCCTGAACATGACAGCAACATGAGTTCTCAGAGTGTAGGTTCGGCACCCTGGGGCTCCTCCATGACTGTTTCCTGCCTGTTTTCTAAGGCTCCAGCTATGACTTACAGACTTCTTGCCTGTCTCTCTCTGCTGGCTCCAGAGTGGGGCTGGTTCAGCACAATCTCACCAGTTAATTAAAACCTCCAAAATGAATACATATCATAAGAACAGTCAACCTTCTGCCCATACCACTTGGCTTTGCCCCTAGATGGCTTCCCCTGGGGAGCAAACTCTCTCTTTCTGATCTGCGGGTCCAGGGACTGAGCTGATGTTATTAGGCAAAAAGAGTCTACCTTTGTGGGGTCTGTACCAGGCAGGGTTTGTCTATAATTAACCTCCAGTCTGAGGGGCCCCACATGCACTCAGCCCTCCCTGAGGCGGGTAGGGAAATCTTCAAGGGACGGACACAAAGCTGAGCTTATCTCGCTAACACTGGGGATTTAGAAATAGAGTGAATTACATACCCAATCACAATGAATCTGGCTGTCGCTGAATTGCCTTTTATGTGTGTGTGGTTTTTTTTGAAAATGTATTTGGTACAGGGTCTCACTACACAGCTCAGACTCATAGTGATCCTGTTTTCAGCCTCCCCAGCGCTGGGATTACACCACACCTAGTCTCAGTGGCCAGCCCAGTGCTGGGGAGTGGTGAGTAAGGGGGAATGTGGTATCAGGGATCAGTCCCTGCACTTGCCTAAGCAGGTGCTTAGTCTGCTGAGCTATCCCTTCAAAAAAATTTAAAAAA